CTGAGGCACACACAGCCGCGTTGGATATCAAGAAACTGGCACACATGCATATACATACAGTTCATACAGAGATGCACAAATACACTCTGATGCCTCTTTTGGGGAACACGTTGATCACATATTGGATGGATAAATGCTATTTAAAGCCACCACCTCCAGGGCTCAGGGGGAGAGCAGAGATTATTGTTGGCAGTGTACAACCCCAGTGAAAACTAGACCCACCATATTAAACTCCACACAGCTTTGAATCATCCTGATAATCATCATCGCGAATCATTCCGACAAAATGGATAAGCCTTGTGGTCAGCCAACTCAAAACAATGAAATCTGCTGATACTGCCAAACCCCTTCCATTCTGTCTTCCTCCTTTCTCTTGACCTTCTAAAACTGGTTTCCCCCAAGCAGTCTGTGTGACACGCAATTTTTTTTTTCACCTGGTAAACAAGATATATTTCTAGTATGTTGTCCAGCGCTTAAAGTGACAATCCAACCAAAATCTTTCTCTTGAGAATGAAACAATCACCCACTGTACCTGTAGACTTGGAGAGTTACTGTAAAATGTTCATAGTTTGCTCTTTCACAGTCAGCAAAAGCTGTTAGAGGGGGGCTGTGGGAAGTCATGTTCTGGTAAACACAGTCTTGGTTTTGCCAAACAGGTGGGATACACATGCAGAGAGTGATTAGATTAGGTTCGACAGAAAAACAGATGAAAAATCTATTTAAGGAAGGTCAATACACAACCGATAAACATGAAGTTTTTTGTGTGCGGCCTCACTGGGTTGCTTTCAAAATTGTTGTGTGTATTTTGTGGTTGTTGGTCTGGACTGTGGTAGTGGACTTGTACTGAATGCAATATGTGCTATAAACAGGCAGATCCTGGGGATTTCTACTGGGCTTGTAACTAGAGCAGAGGTGCTGTGTTAAATATAGAGGGAAGGCCCTGTCGTCTCCCCAACAACAGCAGCGAGCCCACTATAGTACCGGGTGGGGTTGGTGCCAAACAGCAACATGGTGGCATCATATCACCATTTGCGGTATCAAAGTCCAAGTGTCCTCTTAGGACCTGGTGTGGAAATCCACTGTTGGAAGGTTTTTTTGTATTCAAGTAATAAAAACTGAACTTTGGGAATCATCCCACAAAAATGCTCAATCTGAGCCTGGACACATTTTGATTTATTGCACCTTGGATGAAATGATGGTCTACAAAGCTTAACCTCTTAATGCACACAATACACAGACACACACATGCTTGGACATACGTTACTTTCCCCAGTTCTACTCCCTAAGCTTGTTGTTACGACTTGTCTCTTGGCTCAAATTAGTACTCTCTCTCTTTCTCTTTCTCTCTTTCTCTCTTTTTCCCTCTCTCTCTCTCTCTCTCTCTCTCTCTCTCTCTCTCTCTCTCCCTCTCCCTCTCCCTCTCCCTCTCCTTCTCTCTATGTGCCTGGGCCTGGCTTGTTGACTTAAGCTGGCCCATGTGTTGTGCTGCTGCCTGAGGGGAGGGTTCTTGGCCCAGGCAAGGCCAATACAAGTTGAGCAAGGAAGGAGCGTGCGTGTGCTCGTGTGTGTGTGTGTGTGTGTGTGTGTGTGTGTGTGTGTGTGCATGTGTATGTGTGCGGTCGGGCACGAGTGAGTGAGTGTGATGGTGTGAGAGAATGAGTGTATGGTTTTTTTGTGCTTGTATTTAAGCATGCCCAATGCTCCAACTAGAAGTATCTTGTACACATACACAGACATACACACGCAGATTACAACGGGGCTTTCCCATTGAAGCAAAGTACCTGTCTCATAAAACACATTTGTCAGTGACGGAGCCTGTAAATTTGACAGCTCAGAGTATGAATAGTGTCACTGCTCTACTTGAAATTCCTCAGTTACCACACAGTGTGTATATGTGCCTACACACGTTCATTTGCATATGTGGGGGAGGACTGTTTATCATGTCATCATTAAATTTACTGCTCACCATAAATATACCATGGGTGGACTGAAAGGTTCTTGTAAACATCCAAATTTGGGGAGTCAAAAACCAAGAAACCCCAAAACACTCTTCCACACACACACACACACACACACACACACACACACACACACACACACACACACACACACACACACACAGACCAACTTTGTTGACAACGATCTCTGCTCTCCAGTGGCCTCTTTCTGAGCGCTAAATAAAGGCATCCCCAGTTTAACTTGCTCCAAAATAAAGCCTTGCATAAGAAGATGCAGACAGATTTACTGTTGCATCAATACAGTCACTCTCTATTCTGCCCTCCACTCCCACCAAGTTTAATAGTTCCGTAGTTATTTCACAGACAGACAGACAGACAACAAGTGATAGAGAGAGTAAATGGCTGTGTCATTTACAGTATCTGCAGGCAGTGATGTGTTCATCAGTGTAAGCAGTGAACAGGAGTGACGGGGCTGTTATTTGTGCAAGCGCGTTTTATGATGGCAGAATGTGGCACCCATCTGCTTCTAACTTGGTATAAACATTGATATCAAAGTCAGTCTGATAGCAACAGTAGATTAGCCTCACCACTGTCAGCATGAATAAGAGTCAATCAGCAATTGGCCCTCTGAGAAAGGGTAGCTTTAACATGCCATTAGTGTTTATTGTATTCATTGCTTAACACACTCACACACAGACACACACACGAACACTTGCACCAGATGTAATGAAACTGCGGTGGAGTATCAAGGTTCTGCCGGGAAGCAGAGGAAGGAAAAAGCTCAATGTCAGGAAATCAGGGTGGGTAGAGGGGCTGGGGGTGGGGTCGTGGGTATTAATGGGGTTTGGGGTGTGTTGGTATCTGTGTGTGTGTGTGTGTGTGTGTGTGTGTGTGTGTGTGTGTGTGTGTGTGTGTGAGTGTGAGTGAGAGAGGGATTTCAAAGTTCGAATTAGCTCTGGCATCAACTAATAGGCTGTATTTGTATTTCTTTTCTAAACTGTCTCACTACACACACACACACACACACACACACACACACACACACACACACACACACACACACACACACACACCCCAAAGACATGCATGACTGTGAGCGGTATGCTATTAGTATACCACTTTTCAACACCATAGAAAGTCTTAATGGCACTTTACCAGGACTCCAAACACATGTTTTGTAGAGTTGAAAAAACACTTCTTTATCTCAGAGTGAAGCTGACAACACGTTGTCCATATTGGCAACAAAATGAAAAAAATAGCAGCGAAATGTTATTAAAAAATAGACAGAAGTCCATAAATCAAAAGCCTGTCCCTGGTTGACCCTGTTTAGTGCTGAAAACAAGGCTAATGACTGAAACAGGACACGGCTAATCTTGTTATCTCTTTATCTCTTGTCCAGACTGTGTGTGTGTTTATGCATGTGTATGCGTGTGTTGTGCATATGTGTATTACCAGTCTCTCCTCTGGGTATATCTTCTGTTTTAGCTGTGTGGATATTATTCTTTGCCTACTGTGATTCTCTCCATGTTGGTATTTTATAATTACACACAACTGTTTTATCAACCGCCTGCATTGTATTCAGAGCACATAGACACACACACACTTTTGTGTGAACATCACTGTGGACTGTTCAGATTCCTTCATATGTCGTACATTCCTCTACATCTAACACATTCTCATCAGCGTGGGAGCTGAGACACTTCGTGAACTTTTTCTGTCACACAGTGTTTTTAAAACTAGTCACTTCTTATGGTGTGTATGTGAGCAGGTACATGTAGGCTTGCTTATTTAAAGTGTAGTTTTGTACGTGCTTGTGGCACCAGAATGAAGTATTTGGGTGTGCGTGCGTGCGTGTGTGCGTGTGTGCGCGCGCGTGTGCGAGTGTGTGTGTGTGCGTGTGTGTGCGTGCGTGTGTGTGCGTGCGTGTGCGTGTGCACTGAGACTCAGAGTGGATCTCTGCCAGGGCTTAGGGCTTGGCTGAGAGAAAGCCTCAAACCAGTTTACTCTGGTTGTGTAGTGGAGAAGTCTGGGGGCGGGACAACGACCTCTTAAAGCTGCAGACCATGTGTATCTTTGTCTGTCTGTGTATGAGTGTGTGTCTGCTTTGTGTTAGTACATGTGTGTTAGTGTGTGCATTCATATGTTAACATTTCACAGCATTTGGATTTGTATATTAGACACAGTACATAGCTACTCTCCACATTGTATGGGGTTTCGGGATTTTACGTGATAATTTTATGTGTGTGCAAGTGTGCACAAGTGTGTGGGTGAGTTCTTGGCCCTGTATTGAATAATTTTCCCCGAATTTTTCACTTTCATGGACGACAAGAACAGAGGTGAAGAGTGCTAAATAGAATAGACTGAGAGAATAAGTCTACTGAAGCAGAGACATTTGTGCTTCATTGCAGGATGGCACAAATTACTGTTGTGCTCAGTCACATTTTTCTTATAACACCGCGTGCCGAGGTATACTCTTTGAGCTCACTGTGCATGTATATATGCACTGTGTGTATGTGTATGCTGCCAGTTCAAGTGGGCAGTATAAATAAGGTTAAGCTGAGGGTGGACTGCTCGGCATGGAGTGTACTGAGCAGGAAGGGAGAACCGAGCATCTCTCTCCCTCTCTCTAAGCAACGTTGCAAAAGCTGCGCAGAAACACACCACAAAACCTTTTCTCTCTAGAGGCTTTCCATTACATCCTCATGCACACACACATTCACATACTCAAATGTACACAGAAACAGAAAGTTCCACGAGATCTTCTGTACACATAACCATGTGTCTCTGTGTGCACTGGCTTCTTTTGCTGGATTTGTTATCTATATCAAATTTCTTGATATTTTTAGGGGCTACAGGGATTTGTAGCTTTCTATGGGGACAAGGCCAGGCTTCTTCTTATAAAATCATTTTCCGTTACTCGGATAAACAATCAAAACAACAATTCTTTTACAGTGTATGACTTAAGTTTGATTTGTTACACATAACAAATATTAATGTCAAACATATGCCTGTGTGGTCAACCTATATTTGTGTGTTTTGCAGGAAGCCCTCAGGTCATGCTGATAAGGAGGTGATGGCTGCCGCCGTCCTGACCTCACTGTCCACATCCCCTTTGGTGCTCTACCCTTCCTCTGCATCCACAGGTAACACCACTGCCTCAGCGTCAGCTGCATTTATCCGTGTACTTGGTGTACCTTCAGCTACTCCATCAAATACTGACTCATCTACCATATTAAACAAATCACTTTAAATCATGTGTTACTCATTGTCAGTTAGGTGGAAAGGAATACTCATAAATCACTTGATGTTAGTTTACCCTGACATAGACTAAGATGCTGAGTCATCTATGTGCTAACCTGGATTCATCCAATGGGAGGTAGTATTAGCACTATTCCCTTATCTTTGTATGCATGCACGTTTAACTAAACCCAGCACTTATTAGTAACTGTACATGGCTGTATCAAAGTACAAATAAATCGATAGTAATGTAAGTTTTTATTGTAGTATTCAGGAGTCTTCAGATCTAGCCAGGAGCCGAGGATGCTGTGGGTTTAGGTGGAGCTAAATTTGATGAAAGGTTTATTTAATACAAAGTGTTGCAGAGAGGGGATGTTGGTTGACATCGTTGATTCATCACAGTTTGGTTAAGACTCATAAAAATGTCTGCACATGTGTGTAGGTTGGGAGTTTGGGTAAATGTTCCATTATGCATCCCAACTATTAACACCGCTCACTCCACACCTCCCTTGACACTCCTTAAACATCAAAATGGCTTTTGTATGATTTGTGTAGCTTGACATTAAAAGTTGTCACATGGTCTACTCTAGGGATTTCTGTGAAGTAGTACAGTAACCCTCATACACAAATTGATCAATGCTACATATTCATTTGAACTGAGATTCAACTCCTTAAATTTCTATAGGATATAGTTATTGGTTGGTATAAATTAATCCCCAGCGTACATGATGTGGATTACTCAAAGTTCCAGTTTTGTTTTTGTTTTTTGTTTTTTTTTTTTACATATTTTCCCTCAGTAAAAGTCAGATCAAGTCAGTGTGATTATTAAGTCTTATGGGTTAAGCATTATTGGATTTGTGAAAAAGCCTAAATGTATAGAAAGGGTTTGTGGGACAAGACTTAGAAATAATACATTACCTGTCCAGGAAATCAAAGCTGTGTTGGGCTTAATCAGCAGAGCACAGTATAGCTTAATGAAAAATGTTAGGACAGAATCTACTACATGTAAGGTATTATAGATATTAGAATGTACATATCAAACAGGCTGTATTGGTTTATATACATATATATTAGGGCCTCTTAGAGATTTTTATTTCCATTTCAGAGGTAGGATTATACATTTATATTATATATTATATATATTGTGTTGCTGTTAATCTGAAGTTAACTGTGTGTATTCTTTAAACTGCAGTCCCAGAGCCAGCCAACAGGGCTTGGAAAGAAGTGCTGTCAGCAAGCTACAGCAGTTCCACCAGTGGCAACTGGAGCTGGGATGCCAGCGACCAATCGGTGCCCTCCACACCGTCCCCACCTCTGTCCAACGATACCAACAAGAACTTCCTGCTCTCATCCCAGGGTGATGATGTCAGTGAGGATGTCACAGAGAGCACGCACTTCATGTTTGAGGACCCCATACCTCGCAAACGAAAGGTAAAGATGGGTGTCTGATGTGATGTTCATGTCAAGTCCTGCCTCATATCTTGTCACTGTGAATTTTGTTATGTGAATAGTTAATTGTATCTTTTATTTATTTATTTTCATATATGGGAAATATATGAAAATTTCAAAATTTCTGCATGTCATATCCCATTGAAGCAAATTTGAACAATTTTGTTCCCAGCCAGCATCTGCTATTATGCTAATTTAACATGCTGTGCATGCAACAATGTAATGTGGCACTTTTCACCTTCCAATTTATTCTTTATGAATTTTGTTATTAGTAAGGCACAAAGCAGTGTAATACCTGTGTCATTTTCTATACATATTAAGTGTATTTTAGAATTGAGTTGATGACAGAAAAAGTCAAAATGAACCTTTCTAGATGTGACCAATTAAGCCTTCAATGATCTTCACGCTTTAATAGACTTTGTTTGATATGGCTGCATTGTTCATAGTTTTGTCTAAAGACTTGATTGACACAGCTGGAAGATTTTTATTGTGGGTTTTAACTAAAAAGAAAAGTAGACATCCACAGTCACCGAGCTGTTTCTTGACCCGGCTCTTTGCTTGACACAGCCGTGGTTTTGTGGTTATCACTGCAGCCCGAGATGCCGTCCGCTCCACTTTTAACTAAAAACAAAAGTCAGAACACGCTGAGTAATACTTCAGGGCCACAGTTGTAGAGAAATAACTCGGATGTGCTTTTGTTATTTCTATAAAGTAGTAGCAGGGAGAGACTTTGGAAAACCCACTAGAAGAATTCAGAAAATGTAAGCACCATGCAGTTTAACAGCCTCTGACATACGGCTCGTCGCTCTCTGCTTGTGTGGATGATGGATTATGTTCTCTGTTTCACTTCTCCCCCTCTCATTTTTTTACGATAGCAACAGTCCAGAACGTCAAAGTGTTTTCACTGTCAGGAAGCTTTCTATCCCCCTTTCAGCCTTTTCAAGGGGAGAGGTGGGAAGGTTTAGTAAGAACGAAGGAGAGGAGGCAGACGGGGGAGGGATGATCAGCAGAAAGCAACAAAGGGTTCAAGGGATGCATGAAAATGAGGATAGTCAGAGTGTAGAGGAGGAGAGGAGAATTGATGCTCAAGGTAGCAACGGGAGAAATGAATCTCAGTATATCCTCTAGTCATACGGTGACAGAGGAGAGCTCATATACTGTACAATATGTGGGAGTTTGCAATTCAACCTCCCTGGAGTGGGGCAGCAGTGAAGATTATTGAGCTGCTGAATATATGAAACCATAAAGACTCCAAGAACGATGCTGCCAGAGACCTATGCCATACCATAGATAAGCGAACAGGAAATGAAGTAGGATGAAACTGGGCTGAGTATAGACTCACGAGTTGTGTGGAAGAGGGCTAAAGCATGAGCTAACTTGCTTTGTGTTGTGATACAGCTGACGCCAGCCCCAGAGGTCTAAACCTTCTATGAGCAGCTGCCCCTTGGATTGTAGGCTGTTTGATTTTGTGCAGGCAGTGAGTTAAGAGGATTATTAAACATTGCAATCACCAGTTTTACTGTGACACTGTTAAGATGCAAGAAAAACGCTTAGAGAATTAAGTGATTTGTGATTGTTTGTGGGATTAAAGACTAGCTTTGCTGTGTAATTTTTATTAGGAAGGTTGTTTCAAACAGCATGGTAGGGGACATGCATATGGCCACCACCACTCAATTAGTTTAATAGCCTGTTGGTGTCAATGCAATGAAAGGGAGAGCCAGTCAGTAAGAAATAGTTCAGAGGAATAGTAGTGTAGTGACTTAACATAACCATTGATAAAACCCGTTTTACTCTGACTTCTCTTGCTTTGTTTCCCTCTTTCTGTCTCTCCTGCTCTCTCCCTCCCTTTTTTCTTGCCCTTCTTTCTCCGAAGGCTTTTAAAAGGTAATGAGAGTACACACCCACTGTCTTTCATTAGCAGTGATGCAGGTCTCTGCCTGCTCATGGGACAGCTGCCAGCCCTTGATGTGTGGAAGAGAAAATGAATTGAAATAAAAAACACCCACTCCATCCATCCGTCCATCCCCTCATGGCTTGCTTATGAAGCATGGAGGGGTATTCTTGGTTTAATGTAAAATCAGATATGAGGAGGATCAGATATGAGAAGCATTTTCAAACCCTATTGTTAATGATCAGAGGTTAAAAGGAGGTTGCAGGTATGCTTGTGTGTGCCTGTTTGTGTTTAGATAGGGAAGTTCTTATATTTAGTACATGTACTGTATGTTGTGTTGAACATTAGAAAGGGGCACCCCCCGGCTGCACCTAACACCACACTATTTCCGCTGCAATAGATCTTCACCCCAGCCCACAGCATGTACAGACAGCAGGAGGAGATCAAAATAGTACATTTATTTTGCTCTTCATTCTGTCAGTGAACATGAAAGTACTGTGAGGTAGACAGAGAAGGGTACAGTTTCATTGTCCTCTCCCTGTCCCTGTCTTTTTCTCTTTCTCTCTTTCTCTTTTACTCCGTTTGTGTCTGAACTTGTCACATATTGGGTTTCTATTTTTATAGGCTTGCTGTTCTAATAGCTTTCTAATGAGGTGTAGTGTTTGGCCCCTTGTAGAGTGGCACTCAATCCCCCACGAAGGCCTTTCTATTGAGTCTGCCAGTGAGATTCACACGGAGGAACATGATACCACATGCTACGTAAATCTCTGTTTCCTTTAAAATACTCATGAGTGTTCTGCAGATGATAAGTTTAGTTTTATCAGTTTCTACCATGGCTGACAGGTGATCTTTTTTTATTGCTGAGAAAATTATTCAAAACCAAAGTGCTAATCCAAAGACGGATGTTATAGCATACATACACAGATTGCAAAATGGACATCAGTTACTGTCTAGTTTATCTATTGTTTACATTTGTGATATTGTTTCTGTGAGACATTATGTTGTCCTCATAGGCAATCACCCAACTCATGCTGGTTTTGGGCTAAATTTCTCTTTCAGAACTCCATGAAGGTGATGTTCAAGTGCTTGTGGAAGAACTGTGAAAAGGTCCTCAGCACCTCCTCAGGGATCCAGCGACACATCCGCACCGTCCACCTGGGGTGAGTTGCTAGTCATCACTAGAAAACCAAACACTCAGATATTATGTCCTGAGATTCAGCAGTCTCATTTGCAGGGAGTTTTGATCAAATGTTAGCTGCATTTATTTTACATCTTATAGATATGCAGTAAAAGGTTTGAAATAAAAAAAAAAAAACGATGATGCATTTAGAATATTCATTTCTCAATAAGGTCTCACATTCTGCCTAGTGTCTTAGCTCAACCCCTCCACACACACACCACCTCTGCCAGACAGTTTGATAATCTTCAAGATGTTGTCATTATTTAAAAATGTTTATTTATGTATAGTCATATTTATACATTTTATTAGGAATCCACTCTGCTAATGTGGACAATGATACTAATGACGTCTATTTGTTTTGTAGAACTGCAGGCTTAGTTTTTCAATTTAATAAAGACCTTCACTGTGTAGGTGTCAGTTTAGTAATCCTTGCTCTGCAGCTTCAGGGTAACAGTGTCAGTGCTGATGTAAATAGTGTGCTATGACAAGAAAAGTGACGCACATCTGACTTGTCAAAGCTTGGATGCTGTCCACCTGCCTGCCTGCCTTCACACCTGACTAGCTGAGCTTGTGTATCACCACTTCTCCACACATGTGCGCATTGTATCATATGTGGTCCAATTTATAAAAAATTATTCTGAGGTTATAATCCATAAAAGCGCCAGATTACATTGACTGCTTTTACCCAGCAGGTACATTTGGCATAAAATAAAATTATGTATTTGTCACTCAGTGAAATACAAAGTATTAATAACTTTGAGATTGTATAGTATAGTATTGTATGTTCATCTATTACTATATGCACAGAGAGACAGAGTCCTATGGTTACTTCATTCATTAGCTGAACCTCACACAGTTTATGAAGGAAAAAGCGTCCACACATCAGCAGCCTGTTTGTCTGAGGAGCTCTGCAGCACACTGGCTTTCACTGCCCCCTGCTGTTGAGAAGAGTAACCACGTTCTGCCCCTATCTTTGGTCAAATAAATGACAGCTGTGCTTATGTTTGTAGAGTGGTCAGTGATACGTTCGTAAAATGGAACATCACAAGCTTTTTTCATGACCACTATGTTCCCAAGTCAGTATTTCAAAACCATCTTAATGTTTTTTGGATTACTGTGCTCTTCTTGTCAGTATTTTTTGTATGTTTACAGTTTATCATAAAAACAATCACACATATGTGCAAAGTATGTATAAATGTGCAAAATGTGTTAGTGCATTTTTGGTAAAATGGAAGCTTTATTAGTGGCTCTAGGCAAAGTTAATGAAAAAAATCCAGTTTTCTAACTAAAATAAGAAATTTTCAAAACAATGCTGATTACTGAACTAAGATTAAAACCATCCATAAATAAATATACAACTGACATTTTTTTTAATGGAATATATTTTTACTAGTATTTCTTCAGTGCACAGAAATGTTTTCTGTTTCATTTCCAGAGAAATGTCAGAGTCTAACAGCATGAAAACATTGTGCTAGATGGCAGTAACAATATATCTTAGGCCTACTCAACCCACCTCAAGCACAGGCAACAGTCTTCAGGCTAATGCACCTCAGAGGAACGAGAGCATTTGAGATCATGGCCCTGACCACCAAGTTAGAGATTGCAGATTGTAGAGAAGTGAGTAGAATTATTTCAGACACATACAGTAAAGTAAGTACTTCGCATTTTCTGGCATTCATGCTTATGGATTTGAAATGAAAGGGAAAAACATTTTCTCAGCTCTTGAGATTCACTGGTATTACAAACATAAAGATATGGTCAAAGACGATTAAGCATAGATGCTGAAAAGTTTATAATACTTAGCGTGAGTGGTCAACAGAGTGTGACGCTATGCATCAATAAAAATGCTGTGGTCAGAGGAATTAGCAAGCAACAAGGACAATAAGAGAAGGTTTGCATTATAGCATTATAGTCTTCAAAAACTGTCCGACCCAAACCTTAAGAGGAAAATTAAAATTAGATTAAAATAGAGTTAAAACAATCTTAAATTGGGGATGTGTAGTTTTTAAGTTTTGAGTTGCTGTTTCTCTCCTGCAGGCGAAACAGCGACTCGGACTACAGTGATGGAGAGGAGGACTTTTACTACTCAGAGATTGAGGTCAACATGGACAGCCTAACAGAGGGGTTGTCCAGCCTCACACCCACCTCCCCCACCACAGCCGGTCCTCCACCCGTCTTCCCGCCACCACTCACTGACGTCCCTCACTCCGAACACATCAACATGAACGGCTCACAGAGCCATGCCCCGACACTGCTCAGTCAATCAGCTCCCTCCACACTCTGCCACATCCGCACTGACCACGCCTACCAGGTAATCCACACACGCCACCAGAGAGATTTTGGACACACACTTACACTACTAATTTGAATTTCTAAAAAAAAAAAAAAAAAACATTGCAATACAATTGAAAACAAGGAAAAACATTAAGCAGTCCATATGTTACCAAGCCACAAAGTTTCAGTTTACTATCGTATGGAATTTGCAGAGGCAGTTTTTGAGATCAGTGTAGCAAAAAGCACAGAGGTCAGGGTGAATTACCTAACTCCTACACTAGTGTGGGAGTATATATCAGGGAGAGAAAGGGAAAAATTTCTTGCAAATATTAACATAAGTTCACATGAACAATGAAGTCAAACTATTTTAAGCCAGAAAACTTTTAGTCATGAGATTTAATTATGCTTAAATTCCTGCTTGCAACACTTTATTTGAACAGCTTTGTAGCAACTTTGGATATCTATGCCTCATTCCTCTTCATCTGCTCGTCCTTCCTCCTTTTCTTCCTCTTCTTCTAACCATAACCAATTCATGTGCACCCCTCACTTGTTTGTCCTTGGCGGTAAAAATGAAATGTTTTCTGTTGGAAGAACATATTTAGTTAAAGTATAAATCTTTAAAATATTCAATATTGAATTCAGTCCTTCACAGTGGTTGGCGGTAGTATTAAGCTTTCAGTTGCCGTGACAACGCAAAATGCACAGTAAAGTAGACTTAGGTTATGCATATGAAGTGCAATTGCTTCTTATGTTTCATTTTGTCTATTGCTCATACTCATTCTCTTCTATTTATTACTGCTAACCTCACGTTCTCTCTACTAGGGATAGGTACCGAGCCCCGGTATTTAACGGGCCCTGGGGCTACATTATTCAAGACCGCAGTATCAATAAGCTCCGGCCTCAACGGTTCTTCTATCGGTGCTGGAGCAGTCACGTTTTATTTTTTATTTATTTTTTTTTTCTCCGCTAGATAAACGTTATCTTGCACATTTATTTCACCAACTCTGTCAAATATCCGTCTATTTATGTATATTTTCACTATTCTCACAGAAGATGAGAGATCTGTCTCTCTCTCTCTGCCTGCCTGCTGTTTGTGTGAGCAGAGGGCAGGGGGACGGGGCTGTTGTTCCAGTGACACACACCAGACAGTGCAGGGCACACACCAACTCAAGCTCGTAGCCTACCTTTAGATAGATAAAGATGGTGGAGAACACCAAACGGTGTGAGTTTGAATAGTGTGGCTCTACTTTACTAGAGTTGATGCAAACACAGCCCAAATGTGACAAATGCTTTGTTTGTTCAAGTTTTTTATTCTTCCTCAAAAAGTATCGATAAGAGTACCGTTAAGTACCGGCTCAATAAACAGTTTCGGTAAGAGTAGTAGTACCATTAAAATCTTAACGATACCCATCCCTACTCTCTACTATTTTTTATGCTCTCTTAGAAACAGTTTTGTACCATAGCCTACAAGTGCCTGCCACTATTACTGATAAACTGTCAAATTTTTTTGTTTATGTAAAATACAGATTTCTGTGTTAAGTGGTTTTGGTCTTGATTCATAATCAGCATTGATATGAAGGCACATTTTACATTAAGAGGTGGAGAAATACATTCCCCACTAATTATATGATCTCTTTCTTCTGTGCTTTCTGTCGGTTTCTATCTGCACTTTTCCTGTCCCTCGTTGTCTCTGTCATGTCCTTTCCTTGCTGCGATGGGGTGGTTGTCCATGTTCCAGGCCACTGCTCCAGTGAGTATCCCAGTGGGTCCTGAGCTGGCAGGGTTAGGCAGTGGTAATGGGACCGGGCCTGGAACTGGGACTGGGAACGGCATCAGTGTGTCGTGGCAGTCCCCTCCTGTCATTTTCAAAGGCGTCCCGGTGAGTGAGGCTTTGTCTCACGCCTTTTTATCTTAATCTTAACCACTCTCCTGCTGTTTCTCCTCTTGTAGCCATTTGAGCTTTTGTCGCTCTGGTTTTTCTCTCTCCCTGCTTCTCTATACCGTCACCTTTTTATATAGAAAGGCATCAGTCTGTCTGGATATAGCACAGTTCATCCAAAGATGCTATTCAAAGTCCCTAACATATAGTCAAGAAAAGAAACCATCAACAAAATGTGCATGCATTAATAACATTGAATATCTGTTGCAAACATTATACTGTATGTGCTGTCTCAATGCTGTGCATATAAGACTTATACAAATGAATAGAAATAAAAGGGTAAAAAATTAGTATGGAGTAAAAACAAGTCAAACTAAAAGAAACTGAAGGAATATGTGTTAAAAACAAGTTTAAAATATTACTCTGTAAAATCCTCAGTGTCTCTAGTGGGCTGTTTTAAAGGCAGAAGCCATAATGGTTGAAGGCAGCATTGCCTTGAATTAGAGGCTGGGCTCCAAGAACAACCAGGGGACAGTCAGAGGACCTGAGGGATCTGGAAGGTACATACTGTATCTTAAAAGCACATCAGACATACTCAGGCATAGAACTGTTTAAATATTTACAAACCAATAAAAGGATCTTAGAATCAATAATAAGCCTGACAGGCAACCACTGCAGGGACACAAAACATGTATGTAATGCCATCTTTTCTGGTTGTAGATAGAAACATGTACAGATGAATTTGATGAATTGATTTTGAACTGTGCTGCTTTTTGGGAAACAGTTAAGGAGAGCATCAAGATAGTGCAGCCAGCTGGTGATGAAGGAGCAGATCAATGTCTGTACTTTGCTTTTTCAGTGATAAACGCAGAAAAAAAGACAACTTTAAGCCTAATGACAGCAATGCAAAGTTGGATGTCATCCGTGTGACTGTGATAACTCGTGCCTGTCTCCTAAAGATAGAAAGCTTTTTGAAGTTGCACAGTACAGAGCTCCACAAGGTTATATTGTGGCTCTTGCTAATCAAAAGCAATAAAGAATGTTCTTCTAGTAAGGCACTGTAGGAATGACAATAGTGACTGAGGCCAAAAGTCTGTCTAAAAGTATAAAATGTTCAACAGTATTTCAAGCTGCAAAAAGTAAACAACACTGATCCTTAAGTTGTTTGCAGCTGTTGCCAAAGCTGTCTCTGTGATCTCTGTGCTTTGCATGTTGGTTACAGTGAAGATGTAACCGTAATGAGTACACTAAGAGAAATTGACTGCTGGCTTGGTGGCAGTGCTAGACCAAAAGATGATGTATAAAAACAGGAAAATCATTTGCACATTCCAGTATGTGCAATCTGAAATTATTGAGGCAAGCTTTTCCGTTCAGCTACAGATACTCTTACCAGTTAGTTAAACTGGTACACCAGTATTACTATAAATTATTGTAGTTTATTCTGACAGGGATAAAGGTTTTGTCTTTCTGATAACTGACCAGACCAGACACCATGAGGTGTCACTCTATAAGTACTGTATTGAACAATGCACTCATGATGTCTTTTCACTTTTGCAGGGGCCTGTGACTCACGTCCGAACAGTTAGCATCGGTGAAAAGCGGCAGCCGGCAGCCAACACACACACCACTGTTAACAAGACCCATGCTTTAATAACGCCACCAGCCAAGTCAATACCAGGAACCAGGTATGCAGCAGCCGTTTTCTGTGTGCATGTGTCTGTGTCATTGTGTTAGAAGTGATTCTGTTTAAATCAAAAAAAAAGTGGGGCAAAGAGTACTGCAGTTATCTCTATGATTCTAATATATGGGACTGTGTTAATATATTTTGCATCTTAATCATATGATTCAGCAGTGAAGGATATCAATACCAAATTGTGTTTCTTTCTTTCTTTCTTTCTTTCTTTCTTTCTTTCTTTCTTTCTTTCTTTCTTTCTTTCTTTCTTAAATTGTCCTAACCCTTCAAACACAGAAATAATTGAATATAATTACATTTGTAGCAGTGTGTTAATTAATAGCTTATTGCCAGTGGGATGTAAAATAAGGACATGGAGACACAAATTTATTTCATTGCTCTAATGTTAAAATTTCTGAATAGTATCTGGCCTCTGTTGACTTTCTCGTAAGGCCCAACCAGAGTCACATTAAACACACTTTGCACCGCCAGCACCCTGCACTGCTCTGGCGCTGACTCACATCAGATCAAACATCAGATCAAATTTAAAAAATGTATTTGCATGAAATCATCAACCACTTCAAAGATGGTTTCTCTGTATTAATTCATGTTCATACTTGACAGTAATTGGCTTGTTTAAGGGAAAGACTTACATGCTCATGGACACATTTAGGTGCCTTCTAGCGCATTGTACATATATGTGTTTTTTTGCCCGTGTGGGAGCCTAGAAGTCTGTGTGCATGTCCTTATGCTGTCACATCTGCTGTTACCAAGGAAACCCCGTGGGGAGGCAAAGAAGTGCCGAAAGGTGTACGGCATGGAGAAGAGAGACATGTGGTGCACAGCCTGTCGCTGGAAAAAAGCCTGTCAGAGATTCACCGACTAATCCAGTCCCCTTCCCACGTCTGTGAGATGAGCTCTTCCTCACTCAGAGCGACAGCGATGTGGACTCTTCCACTGAGGGAGACGAGGGGAGATTTCTTCACAATGGAGCTCTCAGTGCTGCTTCCTCTGGCCCAGTAGGGGCTTTGCCTTCTCTCTTTTCCGTTTCCAAAAACAAAGAGAAAATAAAACTGGTGGGTAAAAACAACTAAAAACTAAATCAGCAAGAAAAAAAAAACTTTATGCAGGTTTGGAGACTTTTTCTAAGACTGAGACATTTTCACTCTGTTGATGAATAAGGAAAAAAAGAAACATTTAAATTGGATTCTGAACCTTCTGATTTGATTTTTGTTTCTCGCCATTTCTCACGGCCTCAACTCAAGGCAATGTTGAAAGACTACAGATAAGCTTTTTGGTATACTCTGTTTTTCATTATAGGAGCATCATGTAAGCTACTGTTTACGAGGTGGATAATGACTCTTAGGAGGTTCAAGGGTTAACACCAGATTTGCTCAGTAAGACCTCTGTAGCATATCCGTTTTTCATTGTCACTGTTTAAGGGACTTAAAACCTACCAAAGGCAAAAGACCTGTTCGCTTACAGCTGACAGCTTAGGTGTAAGATCAATACCGAATCTAACATCACTGTCTTCTGCAGCCTTACTAGGTATCGACTGTATGTTTAAACACATATTGTTCCATATCTAACAACATGTTCATCAATCACATTCAGTACAGCCAGCGACACTTCTTGTAATTTTCCAGAAATGCACAAAACTTTCACACCAAGTGGTACAAAGAGTTTTCCTTGACTTTCCAAAATATTTTAGAGGGATGTACACGATATATGAAATATATTTTCCCTATATATTTCCCTCTCTTCTTTTCTATACTTGTACCCTAAAGATATGCACCTTGAAGAAAAAGGTTGACTTTTAGAGTATCACTGTAACCACAGCGAAAAACTGAGAGAGTCGATAACTATTTCTTATACAGAGTTTATTTTCAACAATGAGTTGCTTAAGCAACTAGCAGTTGCACTGTGCAATCAGCAGAATTAGAGCATTTTAATATTGTCTTTTTTGCTTTATGGTTGTCATTGTTATTAGGGCGATTGAGGCAGAAAGGCTCATGTTTTCCTTTGACAGCTCATGTTCTTAAAGAGATTGTTTACCACAATGAATGATACATGAATGATAACTGCCCTTTGAAACTTTAACTTACGGTCTGACTGATGTAAATTATGTATGTAGGTAAATAATATAGAGATCGTAACCCAACAATCACTACCTGATAATAAGTCAGGCATTCTAATTCATTTCTCACAGTCTGAAATGGACATCTTATCCAGTCTTTAATCTTTGGAATAATTAGCATAAAGCAGCAGTGCAACAATTTGTAGATACCAAACCTAACTTGATAGAAATTGAGACTTTTCCTTATGTTTTCACTAGATGTGTTTAATCCTTTAAAATTATCTTTCACTCTGGTCTGACATTTGAAAATGAAAAGTAAGAATCAAATTAAGTAAAAGTAGCAAAAGTTTTAAGATGTTGTACCAAAGTGGAGTCGTACTTTTTAGAATAAGCCTGTAATAGTTAATGATGGGTCAAGTTTTCCAAGCTTTAGATGAGATATAGGTGGTAGATTTTTAGATAGTTAGAAATTGTAAACTTTTTGATCTATCCCTGTCATATTTGTTTTTGTCGCAATCTCCAGCAATATTGGCCATCCTAAGAGAATAGCACCCTTTAATGTTAAAATCCAATTTGTTACTTGCTTCGTAGCTCTCTATTAATTGTCCAAGATATAAAACAAAAAGAGGTAGAAAAGATGCAAAGACGTCAGAAGCAATCTTACAACTCTGTTTTCTAGAAATAGTTATAAGATATCCTCTTCTGCGACACAGGAGGGTTTCCACAAAAGAAAAACAGTGATATTAGAACATAATCTGATGATCTCTTATTGGTGATATTATTAATGAAAGTAGAAGATTGAACCACACATCAGTGGTCATAATTAAGAATGTTTTTATGTAATTCCTGCATTGAAAAATTTCCACAAGAGTTGAACTTTTTTTTTATTTTCCCCTCATTCGTAATGTACAGTTGGTGTTAACCTGCTCTGAGTCGACTCAGTCACACTTCAGATTTAAATAACTGTGATAAAGACAATACTGGGCTTTTTAAGATGATAATCTGCTGCCCATACCCAACCATATAGTCAAGTCAATTAATTTATTTATATAGCCCAAAATCACTAATTTGCCTCAAGGTGCTTCACAGTCTGTACCACTTAAGACATCCTCTATCCTTAGACCTACAATCCACAGAAGGAAAAACACCACAAGAGGAAAAAAGACCCTTTAACAGGTTTTTTTCTGATCTGCTCACATAGGCAGTCATGACAGTAGATGTATATTTTTTGAAGAGATTCACCTTTGCGCTGTGTGTTAGCAGCTTTTTGAATGTAGGTTCTGCTGTGTGTTCTCTACTTTTGAAGCGCTCCTGACACTGAGCTTACCTGATCACCATAGTAACTTATCACACACACACACACACACACACACACACACACACACACACACACACACACACACACACACACATACATACACACACATACACACACAGTGCCTGTCCTTCCCTGTGTGAGCAGGCCAACTTTGAGCAGACGCCTTGACTGAGGATCAGTGCGACTTCTCAGACCTCTGTCGCCATAGAAACACCTGCACTGTCCTCTGTCACCACAGGGTCACTTGCGCTGTCTGCTGTCGGCCGACACCACGTTACAAGTGACCAGTTATCACTTCTCGATGAAAGACGAGAAGCAGATGCCTGATTGCTCATTGCCGGCTTGAAGTCAATGGGCAGAAACATTAAGCACACATGGTTGCTGTGATAGTACTGCTTAATATCTCATTCAGTTCCTGTTATAAACCACCATATTGTTTTGAAAATTACTGATCCTACCTGTAAAGTGTTTATTCCAGTGGCATCCCAGATAAGCTAGGCCTCCCTCTCTCTCAGCTTGTGAGAGCAGGCGGCAGGCCTCTTCCGATCAGAAACTTCACAAAGTGCCAATGAAAAGAACATAAAAAGGAAAAAGGTATACTGACCTAATGAAATTGCACTATGTTGCACTGCGCAAAGACATGTTTTTATACATGGACATTTTATATACACAAATTTTGAAGTGAAAGGATTTTCTTTTTTCGAGGGGGTGGGCGGGATGTCGTCACTGCCCGATGGAATAAATGGGGTGTCAGGGATCGGGGTTCTGTACCTCTGGGGTCCCCCATTATTAGCAAGTGATCTTGACAGTTGATGTCTTTCTCTCTGTGTCAGATTTATCGTACTAAACATAGTGGTGCTGGCAGTTGCAGAAGTGTGGTACTGAGAAGTACAGTGTGGTACTTAGGTAGTCAGTCACTTTGCCTTTTCCTTGGAGGAGTGCCAAGGGCCGAAAACAGCACCTGCCTTGTCTCAGTGATAGGAAAACACCGGTCTCAGTCAGCAGCTACACGTTATCGTCTTGATAGCAGATGCTTCACAGTGTTTAATTGCCTGGAGTTTTTTCACAATACACACTTTTTTTTTTTATCCGTAAAGCTCATCTTTGTGCTTTCTTTACTTCAATAAAAAAAAGAAAAAAAAAACAGGTTCATGCTTCTTTACATTTTACTGAGCTGAGGTGGTAACTGTAGATACTGTTATTAGTGCTGGATACCACTTTTGATTCTGTTATCTCTGGTTTGGTCATAGATCGAGTGTCAAATGCAACCCATCGGCTCTCTCTCTCTCTCTCTCTCTCTCTCTCTCTCTCTCTCTCTCTCTCTCTCCATCCTCAGTGTAAGCACTTTTAGATTCCACCAGCAGGGTTAGAGGCCAATGCTTTTGCTGGCAGTGAATGGGACTGTTAGCACATGTTAAGCTAACAGGCTCATGTGGTTGTTGGCCCCTTTTCCCCCTTTTTTTTTTTTTTTTTTTTCGAGTTGCACTAAACTGGCCCGTGAAGATTAAAACCCAGGCTGCATCATTAGGAGCTCGGCTCGGCTCGGCTCGACACGGCTGAGTGCAGCTTGGGTCATCGTGGCCTGAAAGAAACTCTGGGTACAAAGTTGCTCTTGTGTACAGATCTCGGACAAGAGAACTTTATTGGTGATTTTTTGCGAAATAGATCAACGATTAAAAACTTTCACCTAGTAAACGAGAGATGGAGATTGAAGTTGACTTCATGGGTGTGCAGGGAAACTGGGGATTGACAGTAGATGGAAAGCAGACACGAGATGCGCAGTGACGATGTAGATGGATTTGCAGTTTCAGGGCTTTCTTGTACATATGCAACAAAAGAGAACCGTGAGGCTTTTTCATATATTGTTGTTTTCGTTGTTGTTGTTTCTCTGTTATATGAAAAGGAAACTTTTTTACAGTACAGTTGCTCAGAATATTTTTTTCTTTTTTTTTTTTTTTTTTTTAAAAAAAAGTCGATTGAGAAGCTATAGTGAACATAACACATAAAGATTCAATGTATATTGTAGCTTAGAGGCAAAGGGGAGAAAAACAAAACCTGTTGAATGTATAAAACCTACAAAAATAAAAAGTCTTTTCTGTTGTTTTATTTGCTGGCTAGTTTGTACCGCCTGTAGTCAACCAGTAGCGCGTCCTGATTTTTGATATCCAAATCTTTTAACACCCACTGACAGCTGTCGCCACACTGCTAATTCATAACACAACCATGCAGTATTGCTTTACTATCTTACTTTGTGCAATGAGATGCTTTATAATGGAACAAGAACTAACTTGAGCTTTTTGGTGACATCTGGGCAACTCGCTCACACTGTTGCTGTTTGTCTTTTGTCTTTCTCCCCGCCAAATAGTACTATTTTTTTTTTTTTTTCTCGGAATGTGTGTCGTTGTTGTGGATGTTGTTTGTGGTTGTGATGTTAAGTTGTTGTTAGGCAGGATAACCATCAACCTTTGGTCATGATGAAAATTGTAACCTTGCGGAAATCTTTATCCTGCCGTGCACATTCCAACAGACAGCACGCTTCTAGTGTCTTCCACTTGTTTCCCAATAGACATATCCTTCCCATTTCCTTCTCACTACAGTGATTCTTCTCCGATCACCTTGTTCTTTTCCATTTCCTGTTCTTGTGCTATCCAGCTTTACTGTGGTCCCACCCAAGCCTTTACCCAGTATATTAAGCTAAACTAAACCCTTGAAATGTGCATAAAAAAAAAAAAGCCTTCGTTTTTTCCAAATATGTCAAAATCTATGTGCTGCTTTCTTGAATGTCAGTTTTCATTTGTGCGTGAACCAGCAGCAGCAAAGCCAATAGATCTCCTTCCAAATCAAATGTAAATGCATTGCAATGGCAGCTCCACTCAGTTTTCGGCTTCTTCTACTGTGCTCTTATTGTTTGTCCAGGCTTTTACCCTCTGTGTGTCAGATCTCTCATTTCATGACCATTTTTTTTTCCTGTTGTGTTTTTACTGAGCCTTACACTGGCCGGTGTGAAAACTGACTTTTGCTATGTTTTTGTTTTCTCATTGATTGATTGATTGATTGATTGATTGTCTGGCTGAGTTTGAGGTTGTTTTGCATGTCTAGCATCGCTCAATTTTTTTCCTGTTTGTTTTCTTGTTAGGAGATACAACACTGAAGGGTTTTATGTGTTAGATTTCCCCTTTCAGAAACTGATAACCCAAGGCTGATTAAGTTTGTTTTTCTCTAAATGTAAAGATGATCATCGCAGCCCAGCGCACACACATACACACATACAGCGCTAAAAGCATTTTGAGGGAAACGTGAAATCAGCCTTGGGTCTTCACTGGAGGGCAAGATTTCTCCTGTGTGTGGGCTCAGCCTCTGGTCTTCATCAGCAGTCCCACGCACATGGAGGAAGCACTTTCTGAGGAGTGGTGCACTCAGAGTATTTGTATGAATGTCAAGCCTATGAGTAGTGCTTGGAAAGATGGATGACCATGTATGATGCTGATAATGTGATCTATGTGATGTAATGTGACAGAAAGAAAATAAACCTGAATGGAAGACGGTTGCTGCCATTTTCTTTTTTATTTTTTATTCAACTTTAATATGTGGATTAATAAATCACTGCAGGAGATGTTTATAATGGGAAATCTTCCAAATAAGGAAATGTGGCAGTGTAAGATTGTAGACTGAATTCATTCCAGTGTATACTGTCTTTGACTTGTCTATTCTGACCCCTTGTGGGCAGCAGTTGTAATGACAAGACTAGTTCCATAAACTTCCCCGACGGGAACAAGAAAATAAAAGCCACAGCACACATTGGTCACTTCTTTACAGCAGCAATTTCAAAATTTATTGAGACTGATTGGTTTTTGCAAATAATAGTCAAGCTAATTCTTCCACTAAACATGAAGTTAGAAAGAGGCTTGGATGGCCGGCGGGCCAGCCCCAACATCAAAACAGGAGGCTCATGGTTGACTGTAAAAATGTTTTGTGATCAGTACTATCAACCAAAAATATCTGCACAAGAGCACTTAAATCTGCCCAAAACAAAACAGGTGTAAAAACAGGACAGGTTTTTTTGATTATTTAACACATTTTGTTACAAACACAGGTTTATGATAATCATCAATATAAAGTCAGTATCATATTGAACAATATTCCCAATGAAAATAAACAAACCTCAAGCTTCAAGGGCAACCTTTTACAAATTAAAGACCCTCTGAAACTTGAGAGAGGAAAATAAATAATATATAATAGTAATATAAATTCATATATATGAAGGTATACACACATCACTCTTAGTAGAAGAACAAAATCTAAAGTAAAAAGCGCCAATTTTGAAATATAGTATAATATAGATATACCCATATCTATGGCTTCATGATTTGCACGTGTGAATCAAGCTATACAGGCTAAATGAGGATTGCAATTTGTACACGTCTAAGAATACCCATATTCATCTGCAAAAGAGCAAATAGTTCCAGTTTTGCATCGTGGAATGAGACAGTTGTGTGCAGATGCCGAAGACGTCGCTTTGGTATGACAAAATGAACACAGGCATGCAGTTAAGACCACAGAATCAGGGCACAAAAGGTCATCAACACACGGTGGGAAGGAGAATCTAGTCGCCCATCATGATTTGTCTCTTTGAAGTTTTATCCTCAAACATTTTGCACCTCTAATCTGATCAGTCACATCTCAGTAATCTCTTTCCATCAATACAAATATTCAGTCGTCTCTCGGAAACAAGCACTCTCACAAGCACACAGGTGAAATGTCATTGAGGCACATATTGAGGGGTTGATGGCAGACGTTTTCCTGAAGTACAACCCAGTATGAGGAAGAAGACATACAGTACAGGTTGTGAGAAGAGCGCAGGAACGGGGAGTCACACATACATCCAGACGTCTCTCAAGTGGCCACAACAGCACCACAGGACAGAGATTTGTCACTGATCATGGGCTCCTTCCACACCCACCATTGACATTCATAAAAATCCTACCCCATTGTCTTTCTTCTTTTTTCACCCCAGAAAAGTACAACTATTTAATAAATGGGTCAAACAAAAACACAATAAATAATACCAATAAAATAAAGACATTGCCAGACATGAAGAAAGCATCACAGATCGCATTGTACTGATTTTCTCAGTGGGGGTTTATGGGAAGTGCAGTCCATGGCACCTGTAGCAGGGAGGCCTGATGTGTACGACCAGCACTGGCAACAAAATATTTCCCAGAGTTACTACTGCAGCGCTCACTTTCCCTTTATGTAAATGAACTAAAGTTCAAGCCAGTAAAACGCTGGCGGATAGAAATACAGCGTGTAGACTCGACAGCCTTCGGTCTGCATGCTGCATTTCTACTTGATTGTGTGTCATGCGAAGGCGTGATACAGTAGAAACTAGAAAAAATAAAATAAAATCAGCTTGGTTTCAAGATGCAGTCTTCAAAAGCTAGCCAGTTCTTCCACGCAGCCCTTCATATTCACAATAATACCATAACATGTGCACTTTTTTTTTTTTTTCAAACTGTGACAAATAGTGACAGGTTCAAAAATAAAAACAACCCAACAACAAAACTGTTAACCACAACAATAAATCCAAAAGCACCTGCACACACAGACTGTGAAACAAAAGCACTTCATGTATACAAGGTACTAGATTGGTTTTGGTTCGATATTAATCAATTAGTGTACATTAGTGATGCAAAAGCGTGTGCTGAATATATGTTTCAATCAATATCTAACAGAGAAGTTTGACAGTGAAGTTGTTTTCCCCCTTGGTAAAAAAAGCAAATACGACAGAAAAAGCGTAAACTGGCACAATAAAAGGTTGATAAAAGCCCCATGGCTTGCTGTCCACAACAAGGCAAAGTATAAAAGCTTTTTTTCTTATACAAGATATAAAATATCAAAAAAAGAACACACAATAAAGCTTAGCATCCAGCACTTAATAATAATAATTAATAATAGTAACATCAACAACAGTAATCATAGTTCTGATAATCATAATAATAAGACATGTCATCTGCCTCACTTGAATTGTCAATAACTTTGCCAAAAAACGTGGAAAGAATCTTAATAAATCAATATAGACTTTCTTTTTTGGACACTGGACACTCAAACATTCTTGCATACAAACACCCATCCTGTTCCACACAACAGAGAGAGAGAGAGAGAGAGAGAGACAGAGAGAGAGAGAGAGAGAGAGAGAGAGAGAGAGAGAGAGAGAGAGAGAGAGAGAGAGAGAGTGAGAGAGAGAGAGAGAGAGAGTGAGGAGGGAATGATTTCTCAAAAATCAGGAATCGACAAACAGGCTTTTCAATAAATAGCTGTTAAACAAAACAAATTAATATTACACTCTCTACAAATATCAAACTCTGAATTTCAAGCACAATTTTGATCCTCTTCTTTTAACCTTACAAAGCCGGAGAAAATATGTGACCAAAAGAAGGAAAACCATGGAAAGAGTCTGCATATTTTGTGTTCAGAAATTGGAATAACATGACCAAAAACAGAAAAAAAAACCAAACAAAAAAAACCCAAAACAGAACAAAAAACATTTTTTTTAAACAAAGGCAGCTCCTCCTTAGGTGTGAGAGACATGGCTCTCAGGTCCTATCATCAAAACCTCCAGTGTGAGAGAAACTGAACCAGAGACGGCAAGAGAGACAGAAAGAGTTAATAGTGTAGGTCATGTGGAACCACTGTGTGCTTGTGTTGGTTTTCCAAACAGAGAAGCAGAAACAGTGTAACTGATGTGCACTTTGTGTAAAAAGAGGTTTAAGACTCTTCCATACACTGTAAAACTCTTTTTCAGTCTCTCTCTGTCTCTCTGTCTCACACACACTTCACTCCCCTTTAAAAATCCCAAAAGTCATATGTACATTTGTCAAATCTCCAGTATGATGGAGTATGTTGGAATGGATCGATAGAAACCGTGTGGTAAACTTAAGTGAAGAAAAGATTAAGGACCCCACTGAAAGGCAAAGGCTATATAAACAGCAATCTGCACAAAGATTCAGTGATCTCTATATCGTGATAACAGTCAAGAGGACATAAAGTATATCCTTAAAGGTAGGTGCGGTCACCGAGTTGTTTAGGTAAGTAAAGATCAGATCAAAAATGTAAACCACGGGTTCAGGGCTTTGATAGGAGTCAGTTGTCATTAAAGTGCAAGTCTGTGGCAGTAGGACTCTGCATCAATGTGCCATCGGGCTGCCCGGTCCTCTGACACACGTAGCTTTGCAATAGATTTAGACTCTCCCTTCACTCACAGAGAGACACTTTCCCTAGAAGCATTACACCCAAGGTGGGACCAAGATACCCCCTCTCCCTCCCCCCCTCGCCTGGCTTTTTCCCTACACTGTCAGTGATCCTTGGTTTCCATGGTGATTGTGATGGCAAACATACAAAGTTGCAGTAAAGTTGCAGTCTAGCGTTGGCCATGTCCTTGGCAGCGTCCTCGTTGATTCCTGTTGTGGCAGAGTAGAAAACTACTGGACTCTGGCCTGAACCCTCAAGAAAAAGAAACACAAAAACACTGCATCAGAAGTAAAGGAGGTAAGCAGAAAAAGCCTTGCACTTGAGCCATCTCTTGACCACTCTTCTTCTACTATGGCAGTCAAGGTTGAGAATAGCCTAAGTGTATGTATGTGTGTGTGTGTGTGTGTGTGTGTGTGTGTGTGTGTGTGTGTGTGTGTGTGTGCGCGTGCGTGTGTGTGTGTGCGTGCGTGTGTGTGTGTGTGTGTGCGTTTGAGTGTGATACTCATAATGGTTTTAGATCATTGTCGCGCATCACCCTACAGCATTTCCATTCAAAGGAAGGCCTGCCCACGGTGGGACGAATGGGTAAAGAGAGCAGAGTTTTCTGCCCAAGAGATCGCAAGAGATCTTCAGAGATTGGTTGACGAGCCACTAACAGGAGCCTAACAGGTTCTAGGAGATCCAGGCAAAGTCCCTCTCACTCCCATTCTGCTGCTCCCCCTCCTGTGCCGAGGAGTCACTCTCCTCCTTCTCATTGTCCAGTGCTCCATGTGCCTCAGTGGTCATCCCTGAGTCCTTCCACTTCCCTCCTTCTTCCTCCCCTTCTCCCATCATTTCTCCGTCCCCTTCCACCATCATCTCCTCCTCCCCCTCTCCATCGCCATCACACTCTGCCTGGTCATCGTGGAAACGATCGCCGGGATACAGCTCTTCCTCCGGAGAAATGTCTCCACCCACCTCCCCGTTGTGGTCCAGCAGTGCGGCCATGCCCCGGCCGGAGCAGTCAGCGCAGACGCCATGGCGACGGGAGCCGTGTTTGATTCCGACACTGGCTGCTGACATGAAGACTCGACTGCACACTTTACATACATACTTCTTGTCTTTGCTGTGGACCTGTTAAATTGAAAGACATAATTTCAAATTTTTTATTAACACTTTGGATAAGGCAGAGCCAGCCCCAGCCTTTATGCAGCCCTAAGCAGAATTCGATTTAGCCAAGGGCATAGATTTGGTCTCAAATGTCATGATATGTGAAGGCAAAAAAAGTCAGAATATATTAAGGCATTAAAACGTCATAGTATAGAAAGGCATAAAAATGTCAAAAAACGTCACAATATAATAAGCCTTAAAAGTGTAAAAAAATGTCACAATACACTGTTGCTTATAAAGTTGGAATAAAATATTTTTTACCTCTTTCCATGAAATGATTGTGACAATGTGATTTATTTTATTTCATCTGGGTAATTGGGACACATAATGTAATCATTGCACCTGGTCAAAAGTGATTACTGACGCATTTAAATAGGAATAAACAGAGAATTGTGTCTGAAAACAAAATTATTTCAACTTTATGGGCAACAGTGTATAATAAGTAACAAAAATGTCAAAAAATTTCTTAATGTAATAAGGCATAAAATGTCAAAAAACGTCATTGTATAGTAAGGTATAAAAACGCCAAAAAAGGTCATACTATAATAAGGCATAAAAACGCCAAAAAACGTCATAGTATAGTAAGGCGTAAAATGTCAAAAAATTTCTTAATGTAATAAGGCATAAAATATCAGAAAACGTCATAGTATAGTGAGAAAAGTGATTACTGACGCATTTAAATAGGAATAAACAGAGAATTGTGTCTGAAAACAAAATTATTTCAACTTTATGGGCAACAGTGTATAATAAGTAACAAAAATGTTAAAAAATTTCTTAATGTAATAAGGCATAAAATATCAGAAAACGTCATAGTATAGTGAGAAAAGTGATTACTGACGCATTTAAATAGGAATAAACAGAGAATTGTGTCTGAAAACAAAATTATTTCAACTTTATGGGCAACAGTGTATAATAAGTAACAAAAATGTTAAAAAATTTCTTAATGTAATAAGGCATAAAATATCAGAAAACGTCATAGTATAGTGAGAAAAGTGATTACTGACGCATTTAAATAGGAATAAACAGAGAATTGTGTCTGAAAACAAAATTATTTCAACTTTATGGGCAACAGTGTATAATAAGTAACAAAAATGTTAAAAAATTTCTTAATGTAATAAGGCATAAAATATCAGAAAACGTCATAGTATAGTGAGAAAAGTGATTACTGACGCATTTAAATAGGAATAAACAGAGAATTGTGTCTGAAAACAAAATTATTTCAACTTTATGGGCAACAGTGTATAATAAGTAACAAAAATGTTAAAAAATTTCTTAATGTAATAAGGCATAAAATATCAGAAAACGTCATAGTATAGTGAGAAAAGTGATTACTGACGCATTTAAATAGGAATAAACAGAGAATTGTGTCTGAAAACAAAATTATTTCAACTTTATGGGCAACAGTGTATAATAAGTAACAAAAATGTTAAAAAATTTCTTAATGTAATAAGGCATAAAATATCAGAAAACGTCATAGTATAGTGAGAAAAGTGATTACTGACGCATTTAAATAGGAATAAACAGAGAATTGTGTCTGAAAACAAAATTATTTCAACTTTATGGGCAACAGTGTATAATAAGTAACAAAAATGTTAAAAAATTTCTTAATGTAATAAGGCATAAAATATCAGAAAACGTCATAGTATAGTGAGAAAAGTGATTACTGACGCATTTAAATAGGAATAAACAGAGAATTGTGTCTGAAAACAAAATTATTTCAACTTTATGGGCAACAGTGTATAATAAGTAACAAAAATGTTAAAAAATTTCTTAATGTAATAAGGCATAAAATATCAGAAAACGTCATAGTATAGTGAGAAAAGTGATTACTGACGCATTTAAATAGGAATAAACAGAGAATTGTGTCTGAAAACAAAATTATTTCAACTTTATGGGCAACAGTGTATAATAAGTAACAAAAATGTTAAAAAATTTCTTAATGTAATAAGGCATAAAATATCAGAAAACGTCATAGTATAGTGAGAAAAGTGATTACTGACGCATTTAAATAGGAATAAACAGAGAATTGTGTCTGAAAACAAAATTATTTCAACTTTATGGGCAACAGTGTATAATAAGTAACAAAAATGTTAAAAAATTTCTTAATGTAATAAGGCATAAAATATCAGAAAACGTCATAGTATAGTGAGAAAAGTGATTACTGACGCATTTAAATAGGAATAAACAGAGAATTGTGTCTGAAAACAAAATTATTTCAACTTTATGGGCAACAGTGTATAATAAGTAACAAAAATGTTAAAAAATTTCTTAATGTAATAAGGCATAAAATATCAGAAAACGTCATAGTATAGTGAGAAAAGTGATTACTGACGCATTTAAATAGGAATAAACAGAGAATTGTGTCTGAAAACAAAATTATTTCAACTTTATGGGCAACAGTGTATAATAAGTAACAAAAATGTTAAAAAATTTCTTAATGTAATAAGGCATAAAATATCAGAAAACGTCATAGTATAGTGAGAAAAGTGATTACTGACGCATTTAAATAGGAATAAACAGAGAATTGTGTCTGAAAACAAAATTATTTCAACTTTATGGGCAACAGTGTATAATAAGTAACAAAAATGTTAAAAAATTTCTTAATGTAATAAGGCATAAAATATCAGAAAACGTCATAGTATAGTGAGAAAAGTGATTACTGACGCATTTAAATAGGAATAAACAGAGAATTGTGTCTGAAAACAAAATTATTTCAACTTTATGGGCAACAGTGTATAATAAGTAACAAAAATGTTAAAAAATTTCTTAATGTAATAAGGCATAAAATATCAGAAAACGTCATAGTATAGTGAGAAAAGTGATTACTGACGCATTTAAATAGGAATAAACAGAGAATTGTGTCTGAAAACAAAATTATTTCAACTTTATGGGCAACAGTGTATAATAAGTAACAAAAATGTTAAAAAATTTCTTAATGTAATAAGGCATAAAATATCAGAAAACGTCATAGTATAGTGAGAAAAGTGATTACTGACGCATTTAAATAGGAATAAACAGAGAATTGTGTCTGAAAACAAAATTATTTCAACTTTATGGGCAACAGTGTATAATAAGTAACAAAAATGTTAAAAAATTTCTTAATGTAATAAGGCATAAAATATCAGAAAACGTCATAGTATAGTGAGAAAAGTGATTACTGACGCATTTAAATAGGAATAAACAGAGAATTGTGTCTGAAAACAAAATTATTTCAACTTTATGGGCAACAGTGTATAATAAGTAACAAAAATGTTAAAAAATTTCTTAATGTAATAAGGCATAAAATATCAGAAAACGTCATAGTATAGTGAGAAAAGTGATTACTGACGCATTTAAATAGGAATAAACAGAGAATTGTGTCTGAAAACAAAATTATTTCAACTTTATGGGCAACAGTGTATAATAAGTAACAAAAATGTTAAAAAATTTCTTAATGTAATAAGGCATAAAATATCAGAAAACGTCATAGTATAGTGAGAAAAGTGATTACTGACGCATTTAAATAGGAATAAACAGAGAATTGTGTCTGAAAACAAAATTATTTCAACTTTATGGGCAACAGTGTATAATAAGTAACAAAAATGTTAAAAAATTTCTTAATGTAATAAGGCATAAAATATCAGAAAACGTCATAGTATAGTGAGAAAAGTGATTACTGACGCATTTAAATAGGAATAAACAGAGAATTGTGTCTGAAAACAAAATTATTTCAACTTTATGGGCAACAGTGTATAATAAGTAACAAAAATGTTAAAAAATTTCTTAATGTAATAAGGCATAAAATATCAGAAAACGTCATAGTATAGTGAGAAAAGTGATTACTGACGCATTTAAATAGGAATAAACAGAGAATTGTGTCTGAAAACAAAATTATTTCAACTTTATGGGCAACAGTGTATAATAAGTAACAAAAATGTTAAAAAATTTCTTAATGTAATAAGGCATAAAATATCAGAAAACGTCATAGTATAGTGAGAAAAGTGATTACTGACGCATTTAAATAGGAATAAACAGAGAATTGTGTCTGAAAACAAAATTATTTCAACTTTATGGGCAACAGTGTATAATAAGTAACAAAAATGTTAAAAAATTTCTTAATGTAATAAGGCATAAAATATCAGAAAACGTCATAGTATAGTAGGGCATAAAGACGCCAAAAAACGTCATAGTATAGTGAGGCATTAAAGCGCCAAAAAAACGTCATACTATAATAAGGCATAAAATATCAGAAAACGTCATAGTATAGTAAGGCATAAAAACGCCAAAAAACGTCATACTATAATAAGGCATAAAATATCAGAAAACGTCATAGTATAGTAAGGCATAAAAACGCCAAAAAACGTCATACTATAATAAGACATAAAATGTCAAAAAATGTCATAGTATAATAAGACATTAAACGTCATTCTATAATAAGACATGAAATGTCATAGTGTAATAAGACATAAAAATGTCAAAAAACGTCATACTATAAGAAGGCATAAAAACGCCAAAAAACGTCATACTATAATAAGACATAAAATGTCAAAAAATGTCATAGTATAATAAGACATTAAACGTCATTCTATAATAAGACATGAAATGTCATAGTGTAATAAGACATAAAAATGTCAAAAAACGTCATACTATAAGAAGGCATAAAAACGCCAAAAAACGTCATACTATAATAAGACATAAAATGTCAAAAAATGTCATAGTATAATAAGACATTAAACGTCATTCTATAATAAGACATGAAATGTCATAGTGTAATAAGACATAAAAATGTCAAAAAACGTCATACTATAAGAAGGCATAAAAACGCCAAAAAACGTCATACTATAATAAGACATAAAATGTCAAAAAATGTCATAGTATAATAAGACATTAAACGTCATTCTATAATAAGACATGAAATGTCATAGTGTAATAAGACATAAAAATGTCAAAAAACGTCATACTATAAGAAGGCATAAAAACGCCAAAAAACGTCATACTATAATAAGACATAAAATGTCAAAAAATGTCATAGTATAATAAGACATTAAACGTCATTCTATAATAAGACATGAAATGTCATAGTGTAATAAGACATAAAAATGTCAAAAAACGTCATACTATAAGAAGGCATAAAAACGCCAAAAAACGTCATACTATAATAAGACATAAAATGTCAAAAAATGTCATAGTATAATAAGACATTAAACGTCATTCTATAATAAGACATGAAATGTCATAGTGTAATAAGACATAAAAATGTCAAAAAACGTCATACTATAAGAAGGCATAAAAACGCCAAAAAACGTCATACTATAATAAGACATAAAATGTCAAAAAATGTCATAGTATAATAAGACATTAAACGTCATTCTATAATAAGACATGAAATGTCATAGTGTAATAAGACATAAAAATGTCAAAAAACGTCATACTATAAGAAGGCATAAAAACGCCAAAAAACGTCATACTATAATAAGACATAAAATGTCAAAAAATGTCATAGTATAATAAGACATTAAACGTCATTCTATAATAAGACATGAAATGTCATAGTGTAATAAGACATAAAAATGTCAAAAAACGTCATACTATAAGAAGGCATAAAAACGCCAAAAAACGTCATACTATAATAAGACATAAAATGTCAAAAAATGTCATAGTATAATAAGACATTAAACGTCATTCTATAATAAGACATGAAATGTCATAGTGTAATAAGACATAAAAATGTCAAAAAACGTCATACTATAAGAAGGCATAAAAACGCCAAAAAACGTCATACTATAATAAGACATAAAATGTCAAAAAATGTCATAGTATAATAAGACATTAAACGTCATTCTATAATAAGACATGAAATGTCATAGTGTAATAAGACATAAAAATGTCAAAAAACGTCATACTATAAGAAGGCATAAAAACGCCAAAAAACGTCATACTATAATAAGACATAAAATGTCAAAAAATGTCATAGTATAATAAGACATTAAACGTCATTCTATAATAAGACATAAAATGTCATAGTGTAATAAGACATAAAAATGTCAAAAAACGTCATACTATAATAAGGCATAAAAACGCCAAAAAACGTCATACTATAATAAGGCATAAAATGTCAAAAAACGTCATAGTATAGTAAGGCATAAAAACGCCAAAAAACGTCATAGTATAGTGAGGCATAAAAAGGCCTAAAAATGTCATACTATAATAAGACATAAAAATGTCAAAAAACGTCATACTATAATAAGACATAAAACGTCATAGCATAATAAGACATAAAAATGTCAAAGAATACTATAATAAGACATAAAACGTCATAGTATAATAAGACATAAAAATGTCAGAAAACGTCATAGTAAAATAAGACATAAAATGTCATAGTATAATAAGGCATAAAACATCATAGTATAGTAAGGCATAAAAACGAAAACGTCATAGTAAAATAAGACATAAAATGTCATAGTATAATAAGGCATAAAACATCATAGTATAGTAAGGCATAAAAACGCCAAAAAACGTCATACTATAATAAGGCATAAAATGTCAGAAAACGTCATAGTATAGTAAGGCATAAAAACGCCAAAAAACGTCATACTATAGTGAGGAATAAAATGTCAAAAAACGTCGTAGTATAGTAAGGCATAAAAACACAAAAAAACGTCATAGTATAGTAAGGCATAAAAACGCCAAAAAACGTCATACTATAGTGAGGAATAAAATGTCAAAAAACGTCGTAGTATAGTAAGGCATAAAAACGCCAAAAAATGTCACACTATAATAAGGCATAAAATGTCAAAAAATGTCATAGTATAATAAGACATAAAATGTCATACTATAATAAGACATAAAATGTCATAGTATAATAAGACATAAAAATGTCAAAAAAACGTCATAGTATAGTAAGGCATAACAACGGCAAAAAACAGTATAGTATAGTAAGGTATAAAAGTAAAAAAAAATAGTGTAATAAAGCGTAAAAATGTCAAAAAACATCACAGTATACTAAGGCACAAAAAATGTCAGTATAGTAAGGCATAAAAAACATCACAATAAAACGCATAAAACCATACATATATATATATCTATATAAATAGATATATATATATATATAAAGATCTTGTGGCCCTAGGCAGCCACTTAGTTCACTTATGCTTTGGGATAAAGTGTAATTCACTGCCCCCTACTGGTGATCCTAAGCCTACTCACCAGTGTGTGCCTCTTCATATGCTCCCTTCTGGTGAACTTCTTGCCACAGATTTCACAGGGGTAGGGCCTCTCACCAGTGTGAGAGCGCATGTGCCTCTTTAGGATGCACTGGTGCATAGCAGAGAAACTGCAGTAGGGGCACTTGAACTTTTTACGGATCACTGTGAAGTCATTCACTGTAAGGACAGAGAGAGGGAGGGAGGGGGAAGAGAAAAGAGAAGAAAAAAAAAATTAGTGCTGAATGAAGCTCATTTAAATAAACCGAGACGTCACTTCAGTTACTTCAGTTACTACATCTAATTAGCAGCATGGTCTAGAAATGTACCATCAATTCCCATGGCCACCCCAACCCCAGTCAAAGCTACAGTTGCCCTGGCAACAGCTCTTCCTCCATACTAAAGCAATAAAGGCAAAGAGATACTATAAACACACAACACAACATTCAGTCTGCCTTGGTTGCTCTAGAAGGTCTCTGCTATGGACAGCAAAAACACAGACAGAAAGACAAACACAGACAACGACAAGAAGGCTGAAGGTTGGGAAATAATCACACACACAAAGGGAGGCTTCAATATAATAATGAAAAGAAAGAACTAATGTTAATACCATGTCCCATCTTGTGTAGAGGTCTTACAAGCCAATTATCTCAAGGTCTAGACTTAAATGGTAGTTAAGCCAGGTGAAGGGCATCCAAGTAAACAGATAGTGTGTGTGTGTGCGTGTGTGCAATGTGTATGTGTGTGCGTGTGAGTGTGTGTCTAACCAATGAGAAACTTTACAATCAAAGCATACAGCATATAACCAGGACTGGATTTAAGCACAACACACACACTGTACACATCTACTGCACATGAGGGAGGGAGTCAAACACACAGTTAAGGGTTAAGTTCAGCGACAAGGAATACAACATAATTACCTCCATCTGCAAACCGACTTCTGCTCTGATTAAGCACTTGACAGCACATCAACAAAAAACATGCACGTATACATAAACTGCACAATGGATTTTTTTTCCTTTCTTTTTTTTACGTTAAATGTAAACACAAAGAAAGAAATATTGTTGTGATTAGGTGAATATGTGCATGACACAGACAACTAATAACAAAGAAGTTTTGACAGTTTCAGTAACAGTTTAATTACAGCATAAAAATTACAAGCAGAATCTCATTCTGTTTAGAAAAGTACATATTTTTATACAGTACATGGGTTTTATTCATCATCTAAAATGAAATATCTTTCAGTATTTACAAACAAAGCGTATTCCAACTCTGAAACGCTACACAACATCCGTACAGTAGTCGCCATTTCTCCTCAGTGGCTGATTCTGCAGCGTTCCTGATTAGTTCCTGACTTCTCTGAGCCTGCCAGTCTGTTTCAGCTGCTGGCTGGGACAGTGTGTGCTACCTGAGAAATGGGATTTTGTATCAGAAAGGATTTGGCATTTGGGAATTCTGTGTGTGTGTGTGTGTGTCTGTGTGTATGTGTGTGTGTGTGTGTGTGTGTGTATATATATATATATATATATATACGATAGCAAGGGGGTAGATTCCCAATAGACACCAGCTCTGCTTTTACTGCACACATTCAGAAATTTCAGTTCTATGTGCTGGAGTGACTGGATTATAAGAGGGAAACACTGGTGGATGTCTTCCCCTTTGGATATAGTATTCACAGTATGGGTGTACACAATAAACTGAGCTGTATCAAGACAATATTTTGTTGCAGGGTAAAGTTCTGCTGTAAACTCGAGGGAGAAAATTTTGGCAGAAATGTGTCTGAATTTACATGAGCATAGATTTTAAAGCCAGTGTTCCTCCCGCAGGCCTTGCTCTAGCTCTTCTGCCTTCACCACCTCCCTTATTCCTCTTCTGCATTCTCCCACTTGTCTTGCCTTGATCTCCCATTTTCTACCTTGTACTCACAACCGCACCATTATCTGTCTGCGGCAGTGACATCACCGAGCTCATCTGGTTTAAAGGGCATCTGCCCCTCGGTCCCCACTTCCCCCTCAGATGAGGGGTCAGGGGTTAAGAAGGGTCGGAGCCATGAAGGACCAATTACTGTCCAGCTCCAGCCACACTCAGCCACTACAAGACTTACAGATCTGGGACAGAGGAGATGGACAGAGAGAGAGAAAATGACACCACCCAACCCCCATCTGAGCTGCTACTGGTCTATTGTTTTAGCTGGCTTTGTCTCGTTCGGCACATCCCCTCCATCTGCACTGATCTGACAGCACTGACAGAAGGGAACTGTGTCAGACTGACGACTGAGGACAAGCGTGTGCGTGTCCAGTGGAGGTGGATCTGCGGTAGAATTACTTTGTTTGTCCTTTCTCTTTGAGATACAGCAACCACAAATACTTTTATAAATTCCATTAAGTTCTTTAAGGCCAATTCTTAATATTTATGGATGTGCACTACGACAGAAATTATCTCATTTGGGTCTTTACTCAGCTCTCAGCGCTGCAATGCTACGAAACTCCTGCAGGTGGTGTGGTTGCGTGGGCTGTGAACAACAGTTAAGCCTTGCAGATATGAGCTGTCTTTGTGCCTGTAATGCAGGGGTGGACACAAAGATAAAGATCTCTCTGCCTAAAAAGGAGAGAAGAGTTTAGTCAGACTAGTGACTGGCGACAGTAAGCAAGACAAGTGGTTTGGGTTGGGAAAGCGGAAAACACAGCCCCCCCCCCCACCTCGTCTCACCACCAAGCACCGCAGCACAGAGTAATTCACCTGTTTATGGGTCCAGTCAGTGCTCAACAAAACTATTCACAAAGCCTAAAAATACTGCATATAATTTCAGCCAAAAGTTTTTTTAAAAGATCAGGTTTGCATAGCAACTGTGCACTGTTGACATATGAGTCAATTAGTGTTAAATCATCCTTAAAAAATAATATTGGCATTAAATTTAACACGTTGTAAAAAAGGTAAAGATATTTATAATCATGTCAACAGACATTTGATTGCAAAAGGAAATCTTCCCTTCTCAGTGCAACGAAACCACAGATCATTTTTGGCATCAACGTACAACACAAGTGAGGATACGCTGCTAATTGATGGGTATGAATGTGTGTACATAAGCCTGCAGCCTGTAGATCCAGTCTCAGTTTTACGCATTGATACTGCGATTATGATTATCAACTTTCATCTCTCGAGAAAGCCGCCACAGTGGAAATATACCCTGAGACACCCTGAGACATTTCCATCCCAGTGCGACCTCCCAGCATAGCTCCTGGCATCGACCCCACCTGGCAGCACACTTTAACATGTGTCGCCAGGTTCTTCTGGGTGCTAAAAGCCTTGGCACAGGCAGGGCAGGTGTGCCCTCTCTCTTTGGAGTGCACAGACGACAGGTGTCTGTGCAGGTCTGTGCGGTCTCTGAAGTGTTTCAGACAGTACACGCACTGCATCAGCTTCTTCTTGAAGTGAATGGTCTTCTCGTGTCGGTCTGCGTTGGATTTGAGGGTGAAGCTGGCCGGGCACTGGGAGCAGAGGTAGCGCGCGGGCTCGGCCACTGCAGGGCGGTAGAGAGACTGGTGGAAGTGGAGAGGCTGGGGCTGTGGCTGGTGACGGGGCAGGGCAGGTTGGTGGTGCGGACCCTGCATGCTCGGCCAGTCCAGGGACAAGGCCATCAGAGACAGGGTGTGGCGGTACTCGTGTTCCCTGAGATGCTCCAGGCTGCTGAACAGCCGTTTGCACAGGGAGCAGGCGAACCCCTGTGAGGGCCAGGCACCGGGTTCTGGCAGGACTCTTTCCCCTGATCCAGCCTCTTCGCCCAGCACCATCAGCCCTTTAGTCTCTCTGCCAGCCACGGACACTGACGCAGGTATGGTCAAACCACCAGCACAGCTCCCACCGCCCATCTGATCCCTCTCGACAGGAGACTGGTCACCTTCCAAGGCTGAGACAGCAAGAAGGAGGGTGAGAACGAAAGTGAGAGAAATAGAACAGGTATAAAAGCACAAAAACTCTCTCTTAAGTTGTCTAGACATGACATACTTCAACTCTTAAAGTCTAAACCATACCTGCGCTGTATTCTTTCATGTCTTCTTCATCTTTTATGCCCTCCTGTAAACACAAAGCATCTCGTTATGTCACACGCACAGATTTATACCGGCTGTATGGAATATTGTCTGGGCATGCAGGAGGCAGGCAGGTGAGACAAGCTGTGAAGACAACCTTTTTTTTCACACGTGAGAAACACAGAGAAACAAAGACATGAAAACAGAAAAAGGAAAAAAGACGAGGAACGACAGGTCAGCATGATTTAAAGACAGATAAATTGTCAGAGATAAGCACGCAAACACAGAAAAAGTCTTGTACAGTAAATATCTGACAGTTCCTGGGTGCTAGAGCTGTCCTATGAGACACAGAATCAGCACTTAGGTTGATCTACAGTATTAATAATATTATCTTTCTGTTATTCATATGCTCAACCCCCACTTGGATGTTAGCAAGGTGCAACAAACACCCATCCCCACTTTCTTTTCCCTTCTACATCCCATCTGATCTGTATCCTTCCTCCATCTACTTCACGCTCCTGCCATTCCTTCACCCCAACCCATTTCCTCAGCCCCTACACTCCTCCTCCTCCTCCTCCTCCTCCTCCTCCTCCTCCTCTCCAAGAACAGAACACAGTGCACTGGGCAAACAGATGGCTTGTCCGTAGAGATAGGGAGGCTTGTTGGGAGGCAGGTCCACTGAAATCAAATGCTGCTCCTAAATGCTCACCCGCAGACACAGCGCACACACACACACACACACACACACACAGACTGGCACAAAACTCACATCCACACATGCTCATACTGCCATGTTCACACACACACACACCCACACACTCGCGCACACACACACACACCGCAGAACAAACAATTTCCTGGGCTGTGAGAGCAAACCTCTCATTGTCTACTAGTATTGATTCTACTCAGTCTCATCTCACTACCTTGCCCGTTATCTGCCATATCTAAGCACACACTGCCATTGTGACCAGATGTGTCATCTCTAATCTAACCACTATATAGCCACATTACCGCTAATGCCGAGCAAAGACTGCAGGCTCGAAGGTGAAATCTGGTCTAGCTATATTAAAAGAGTATTTGAAAAGTGAGACAGGAGTGAAGAACTGGAAATCTGAAAGGAAGAGAAAGCAAACAAATCATACGGAAAAGAAA